AAAATCAATGCACCGGGGTAAGGCATCACACATTTTCAAGGCATCAAACGTCTATGTAGACCCCCGTACGAATACGGCCCGTACGTACGTACGTACGGTCGTATGTACAGGCTCATGTGGTAGTACGGGCCGTACGTACGAAAAAAAAGCAAAAAAAAAAACTTCAAAAAAATCTATAAAAAAAATTGTTATGCAGAAAAATAAACGGGAACACTTTTGCCTCAGGGTCATATTGAAATTGGTTACCAAATTTGAGATAAAAAAACAAAACTATTTTTTTTTTTTTTTTTTTTACAAGGCTATACATACAACCGTACGTACGACCGTACGATAAACCCCCCGTATGTCGTACGGAGTGTTACACGGTCAGACGTAACATAACGGCGAGTGAAAACTCACGGTACAAGCGCCAACAATTATTATTCGTTGTTAACGGTCATTTCCGCATTGTGTGAGACTCCAACTGGATTTCACGCTCGCTCACCCATGGCAGACCCGGTGTCGACCCCTTTTAGCGAAAAGGAATGGACATCAAGAATCGCAAAAGCGACAACGACGAATGCACATTAAATGTTTTTACAACCCTTTTAGCGATACGTTAAGACTTCATGCACCCCTTTTAGCGATATGCAGCCCTTTTAGCGGAAATTGCAAAAGGCTAAAAGCGGAAGTTGTAAGAGGTAAGGAGGCATTGTAAGCCAGTTATAAATTCCCTCGAGCAAAGGTGGAGGAGAGAATCTAAAACGACAAATCAATTCGCGCATGCTTTCTCATAGTGCGTCGTCGGAAATGGTGAGGAGGCGCTTTAAACCACCACTTCCTCTGATACCCGGAAATAGCCCCCCCCTGTTCGCAGCCCGTTAGGGGTGCGTTTTTTCCCCTTTAAGACATGGAGACATTTTTTTGTCGTCCTTCGTTATACCGGTCGGGTCGTTTGGTCGTTGGAAGGCTTGAAAAATACAGGAAGGTGCAGGTTTGGCAGTTTGGGGGGTGGTGGCAGTTTGTCTGAAAAATGAGGGACCGGTAGCTACCGGTGACATTTTTCCCCCTTTGAGACATGGAGACATTTTTTCGTCGTCCTTCGTTATACCGGCCGGGTCGTTTGGTCGTTGGAAGGCTCGAAAAATGCAGGAAGGTGCAGGTGTGGCACTTTGGGGGGTGGTGGCAGTTCGTCTGAAAAATGAGGTCCCGGTAGCTGCCAGTGGGACCTCGCTTTGGGTTTTGGTCGGAACGGGTTTTGGTCCAAATCGAAACGGTGGCAAAGTAGGGGCAAATGGAAAGGGAGCGCGGGGCCGGGGGCAGGGGCTGAAAAGTCCGAGGAAAGTGCGCAGGTTTGGGCAGTGGTTGAAACGACACTTCCGTCCAATGAAAGTGCTCAGGCTTGGGCAGAGGTTGAAATGACACTTCGGACTTGCGCCGTCTCTCTCTCTCTCTCTCTCTTTCTCTTTCTCTCTCTCTCTCTCTCTCTCTCTCTTTCTGTGTGTGTGTGTGTGTGTATGTGTGTGTGTGTGTGTGTGTGTGTGTATGTGTGTGTTTATCAATCAAGCATATACAAACTTCGGGCTGTGCACCCATGCCCTCACAGTAAGTCAATGAGTTACGACGGGTTCTTAGGCAGGCCGGCGACCGGAGGCCGAAACGGCGGGCCTAGTCCCGCAATTTGACATCGACAGCTTTGTCGATTTTTCTCGCTTAGAAGAATTCACAGAAATTCTAAAAATTTGAGGGTTCGTAGATTTGCTCGTGGTCCTTCCAGGAAAAATATCAAAAATATTTAAAAAAATTATTTCGACCTCCAAACAACCGCCTCGCCAATTTGGTGCACGTTCAAGTTATGTTACAATGCCATTTGTGGGAGAGGTAGCCAGCAAAGTTTGAGGACCCAATTTCAAACTCGAAAATATTCCATACAAAATGACCTTGCCATCATTGCAATTCTGGTGCATCTTTATCCGTCAATACGACAGTTGAGCGAGAAATAAAATCAAAGCATAGGGGTTATGCATCACACATTTTAGAGGTCTAGAATGAGACGTAACATAAAGGCGAGTGAAAACTCACGGTACAGTGGCCAGCAATTATTATTCGTTGTTAACGGTCATTTCCGCATTGTATTAGATTCCAACTGCATTTTGCAGTCGCGCACCCATGGCAGACCCGGTGTCGACCTTTTTTAGTGAAAAGGAATGGGCATCGGGAATCACAAAAACGACGACGACGAGTGCACATCTAATGTTTTTGCAACCCTTTTAGCGATACGTTAAGGCGTCGTGCACCCCTTTTAGCGAAACGTCAAGGCTTCGTGCACCCTTTTCAGCGATATGCATCCCTTTTAACGGAAATTCCAAAAGGCTTAAAGCGGAAGTCGGAAGAGGAGAGAAGTCGTAGTAAGCCAGTTAAAAATCCCCTCGAGCAAAGGTAGAGGAGGGAATTTTGAACTACGAATTAATTCGCACATGCTTTCGCACAGTGCATCGTCAAAAAAGGTGAGGAGGCGCTTTAAGCCAGCACTCCCTCCAACAGCAGGAAATAGCTCCTCCCTGTGAGTTCCGACGAGTTCTTAGGGAAGGCGGTGACCAGAGGCTGAAACGACGGACCCAGTCTCGCAATTTGACAACGACAACTTTTACGATTTTTCGGGCTTAGAAGAATTCACAGAAATTTCTAAAAATTTGGGGGTTCGTAGATTTGCTCGTGGTCCTTCCAGGAAAAATATCAAAGGTATTAAAAACAATGATTTTGACCTCCAATTAACCGTCGTGCTGATTTGGTGCACGCTTGAGTTCTGCTACAATGCCATTTGTGGGCCAACAAGGAAACTTCTACAACTTCAGCGATTTTTTTGCGCTCCAAAGAATGCGTCACAGACCCCCAAAATTGAAGGATCAGTAGATTTGCTCGTGATCTTTTCAATGATTTTTTTTCAAAAATTGAAAATCATTCATGCCATGAAGTAAATCATGGACACAATTCGACATATTTTTAATTCTGCCCTACTGGCGGTTCTCCAGTCTGTAGCACGGGTAGCCCTAATGAACCTGTGCTACCGATTTCTTGACGTCGGAGGGAGTGGTGGTTTAATCGGGATTGAAATGAATACGAGGAAAGATGGAGAAGCCAATTTCACTATTGGCAAGACATGACACAAAGGACAATCTTTTTCACGATTTGTCCATTTTTTTCGATAAGCCAGAAGGTAATCATTTCGACAAAATATCATTTTTTGCGAACTTGCATAAATGTTTAATCTTCTGGTGACAACGTAGAAGGTAACAATTTTGGGCAATCATCCATTTTGGCGAATACCGCATATCGATCCTTGAGCGACAAACAACGTCGAAGCACAGGGGTCAAGTACACATACATTCTAGTGATAACATAGTTGATGATCATTTTGGTGAACTTGCAGGTGTGAACAAATTTATGGTGACAACACCAAAGGTAATCATTCTGGAAAATTTGTAGATATGAACGGTCTTATCATAAATGTGTGGCTTCTAAATTGCGAATCTGTTCGCATTTGTCATACGGAAACAACAGTCAGCATTCAGTGGAGACTACGACATGTATTCTAACGATAATCAAACTTGTGAGTGCATAAAATCACGTCAAGCACACATACATTCTGGCGGTAATTGATTTTTGAATTGCGAATAAGTACGCAATTGTCATATGGAAGCGATAGTCAGCATTCACTGAAGAGAAGAAGGAGGGTGGTTGAGGGGAGGAGGGCACAATAGAGGGGGTGAACCGAAAAAAKGGGGSGGKRSGKGGRGRGRGGGGSKGKGGGGGGGGGGGGGGGTCTTTCAAACCGTAAAGTCTCGCGTAAGAAAGAGATAAGCACGAAACAATTTGGCAACCAAGAAGTAATCATTGATATTTTTTACCAACATCTTGCTAAATGAACTCTGAGATAAGCACAAAACAATTTGGCGACCAAGAAGAAATCATTACTGTATTTCACCAACATCTTCTAAATGAAGCAGAGTATCGAGTCCTACGAGCATGAGTGTAAAGAATGTCCACAAGAGAACAAAGATTTTCCATGAGTAACACAAGAGCACAACCTGGAAACGAATAAAGGGAGCACGACGTTGCCGCGGTCGTACACAAAATAAGGAAAATAACCCAAAAACAAACAAAGACAGCACGAAGGTGGGATATTCATATTCGATATCTAAGCGTCTACTTAAAAGATACTGCACCACGTGGCAGAGATATTCACATCGACATCTAAGCGTCTACTTCACCCAAGCATCCGCATAATGAGCCCGTACGTACGTACACATAATAGGGTGCACTCGATTTTTATGAACAGGAATGATTAGCGTATCGTACGCAAAAATGTTGACATCTTTTGTCCATCTTGCAACCCTATCATGTCGGCATCCCTCATCGACGAGCTTCGTATAGAAAAACAGACTGAAAATATAAAATGAGGGACACCCCGGCAACGTAGCATTGCCAACCAAGGCCAAGTAGGACTCCACCACCTTGTCGCAAAGCCACCCCCCCTGAACAAGAGTCTGGAGATTTTTTCTTCTCAACATAATAGAACTGGTCCCTTTGCGAATCGAGGAAACCACCTCGTGGCCGTTGCTGAAATCTCCACAGACCTCCTGCAACATTCTCAAGTCTGCACCGCTAAGCTCCTCAGTAGGTAACAACACGCGAAAAGATGATGTCGTCGCAGTTGCACAAACACCGAAGAACAAGTGTGAGTAGCCGCCAAAACCACGAGGGTGAACTGGTCAAGAACTGTGTGCCCTTTTTCTAGACAATTTATAACGGCGACTGCTGAATGTGTCTTTGGCGATGTACTTAGGACACGGGTCTTTGACGGTACCCCGTTTGGCGTCGTCATGAGATCCATCAGACAAAGCAGTAACGCTTTCGATAGACGCAGCCACATGTTTCCGCAAAGCTTCCTCCTTATCTATTCCACAAGCCTTCAGAACTATGACAGCTCTTCCTGAAAGGTGCGGCATCTGGACCATTTTAAACAACCCTACAATTGACGAGGACTTCTTCGGTAAAGCGGCCAATGACCGCCCTGAAAACTATTTTCCGCGCATGGCTTACGAAGGCTTCATGGGCAGGGACATTGACAACCTCACACCTGTACATCATAGAAAACAACCCACAACCCACAAACTTCTGTTTAAGAAGTGGTAATAGCCACATGAGCCAATCATCTCAATGTGGATGACCACAGAGCTGAACATCGATAGATGCGCAAGTGGTACTGTTCACAAATCTTACCGTGTTCGGGAGTCCTTCGAGGGGAACCGGCCTCCTGTCGCGCCACTCTGCCGACGTCCGCGGAGGATTCGATGTTCTGCATCTCGACCACCGCTGAGTCGCTAACCAGCTCGATGGCAGCTGCGGCGCTAACTAAGTTCGCGGCTTCATGAAGCACCATTTCCCAACCGGAACTGAGGGCAGACGCTCGATCACCTTGCTCTTCACCACAGTTGGTGGACGGAGAATCATGATCTGTCCGCTTCGACCCCATCTGACGAGCCGACACCTCACCGACATGAGGCCGAGCCGACACCTCACCGGCATAAAGTTGAGCTTCCCCCACGGTTTCTTCGCCTGCCTCATCGTCATGAAGTCGAGCCGACACCTCACCGCCGGCGCCAAAAAGTTCGCCTTCCTCATCGTCATGAAACCGAGTTTCCACCACGGGTTCTTCTTCGGCCTCCTCATCACCACAAGCCGAGCTTCCCCAAACGTCCATGCACGTCCTTCCCGCCCACGGCCTTGGCCTTCCACAAACGTCCATTGACCTCCCTTAACGTCACCCTCTTGCGTCGTCAGTGGCAACCCACTGTGCAAAACCAAATTGGTGTCCCCAATGTTGATGGCATTTCCTGACGAGCCTTGGAGAACCTCTTCATCCCGCTGCACAGCATGCGTCTCCTCCAAAGCATGACCTTCACACTCGCTAGCCTATGTCTCCAACACTCCTTCAGCGGGCCCTTGAACAGATGTCGCCGCACGCTGTAAACGTTCACCCTCTTCAAAGAGGTGCAGGAGGAAGGTGTTGTCCTGAACAGGACACGTGTGTTGCGTACTGCAGCGAGGACTATCCTCAACGTCATGAAACAAAGTCCTCGCAGACAAGTGAGAATCTACTCACGCTTGATAAGACCCCGGGGCGGCCTCGTCTCGCTTGTTGGAATCTCGACTCCCTTCGCAGTGGCTTTCACCTCCGTCCGACCCGACATCCCGCTGCACCGCATGCGCTTCCTGTGAGAGGTCCTCCTCCCCCAAAGTTGTCGCACTTTTGCTCTCAACATCGACGGACGCGCCCTCCGAAGCATGACACTGATGCTCGCTAGCACTGGTCTCAAACACTCCTTCATCGAGCCCCTCCCTCACTTTGTGAAACGGCCAATGTTGAGTTTCCTCTTCCTGCTGCACAACATGCGCTTCCTGTGAGAGCTCCCCTTCCCTCGAAGGTGGTGTACTCTTACTCTCTAACTCGATGGACGCACCCTCTGAAGGACGACGTAGATGCCCGCTAGCCCCGGTCTCCAACACTCCTGCGTCGAGACCATCCAACACTCTGTTAGGCGGCCAGTGTTGAGTCTCCTCTTCCCGGTGCACAGCATGTGCGTCTTGTGACAACCCCTCTTCCCCTGGATCCGCTGCACTCTTGCTCTTTAAATCGATGGATGCACCCTCCGAAGCATAACGTTCATACTCACTAGGCCCGGTCTCCAACACTCCTGCAGCGGGCCCCTCCAACATTTTGCGCTCGCCGGCGAAGTGAAACAAAGTCCTCGGAGACAAGTGCGAATGTACTCGCACTTGATAAGGCCTCAGGGAATAAGACCTCAGGGACGCCTCGTCTCGCATGTCCGAATATCGACTTCCTTTGCAGCGGCTTTCAGTTCCGATGGACTCGTGACTCCTGAACGCTCTACGCTTTCCGCCTGGCCCCTTTCTGCCCGACCCCTTTCCGCCCGACTCCTTTCCGCCAGACCCTTTTTCGCCGGACCGTTTTCCGTCGAAGCCAATTGGTTCCGACAACGTTTCGCATGGCCTCTTCCCCTTTGCTTCGTCACCACCAGATCCTGAGCCGTCTCCTTCATCACCTCCTCCACCGGGTCCTGCGTCGTCTCCTCCATCACCTCGCCCACTGCCTCCCGGATGCTGACCACCCGACGGAGGTTGCGGCATGCGCCAGTCAATGCCACGAGACGGTGCCGTTTCGAGTGTGTAGAAAGGCGCTCGAAACTCCAATATTTTGTTGTCGTACAACTCGTCGAGCTTTTGGCCTGCATACGCATTGACGTCCGGCAGGCTCCTGTCGGGGTTCATAACACTCAAATGCTCCACCAGAGTTTCTTTCGCCTTTTTCTTAAATGGAACCGCTCCCAGTCTGTTCATGCCACTCCACTTACCATCCGCTTCCTTCATTGCCATGACCCACTTTCCAGTCTTTACAGCAGGTTGGAATTTCCTGGGGTGCCAGACGTTGTGGCCCCAGACAGCCTCCGGCGTGAACCGGTGGTGCCTCCCGTAGAAGAAGAGCCTGGCATTCTCCCAGGTATCATGGTCCCTAGGGAGCTTGTCACCAGGTTCGTAATCATAGTCTCTCTCTTCTTCCCCGTCATCACACGATTGGTCCTCGACTGTTTCTCGCTCAAACACACGCTTCAAACCGGCAGGGGACGTGCTATATCTCCGAGGAACACCTTCCCCTTCATCATCAACCTGTGCAACCACCCGAGGAAGTGGCATGGACTCGAAATCGAAGGTTTCGGAGTCGCTCATCTCCTCCATGTCCTCAGCGTCGAAAGGGTCCTCCTCGTCGAACTGCGCCTTGTAATTTTTGAGGGTCAACGGTTTGGCCATCAAGAAGAAAACGTGGTTCAGCCTTTTCAGGAAATTTGAGACAGACTCCCTGGGTGCATTGTGGTAACCATTCAGCAAACCGAACACCAGGTTCCTCTGTCGGTTGTATTCCAGGTCGGTCTAAGCATGCGGTCCTGGCTCGAAAAGGAACTCCCAAACCTCCATCCTTTTCTTCTCCGACAATTTTCAATACATATCACGTTTGGGATCCCAGTTCCGTTCGCTGGTGGTCTGGACAAAAGAGCAACGGTGGCGAGGATCCCCCACGTGTGTCTTAACGAACTCGCAAAGGTAATCAATCATCTTTGCCTCGTCCTCTAACGCAACGACGTTCCGACCGCTGCGCAGGACCTCCCACACGATAGACGCGTGTGCCTTCCGAAAGAAAAAAACGGTTTGCCCAACTCTGCAAAAGTTCTCGAGCAGGTCAATTAGATGAGCTGGGTTGCGCTCCCTGTCCCCGTAAGTAGCTCCTCGAACACTTGTCACGCCACCGTCCTTCCACTAGCTACGAGGGAACTTATCCTCGTCCTCCACATCGAAACAAGCCACAGCCTGTCCTGACGGGTCGGATGAACAGGCAGCTTTCGAGCGGGCCACCGTCGTGGGTTTGGCCGGACTTGGAGCATTAGCACAGGGAGGCTTCGATGGACTACTAGCCGGGAAGACTGCGACCATCTTGTCTGCCAGGTTCTCGCCATTGAAAACCACGTACAGACGATCATACTCCTCGACCAGCATATTGCCTTCCCGAACAGTGACCTTCCTTTGTGCATAGCGCACCCACTTCCCTGTCCTGGCATGATGAATGCTAAGGCCATGCCTTTCAAGAAACTGAGCTCCCAACGAGAGGGGAAGAAGACAACAAGTGCCCAGTGCGTTGGCGATAAGGTTTGGAGAACGCCTTGCAAGGAGGCGAAATCGTCTTCTTGTCAATCTGAGAGGAGTGTGGGATCACACAAATCGAGGACGTACAAGTTGCACACGTAATGTCGCACAATCTCGCGGATCTCAGTGAGACGATTGTGAGCCTGGGAAGCTGGATAACTGAAAGGAATAAGGCTGGTCACCCGGTTGATCTTGTGCCATTTGATGTGCCTCACATCCCCGCTGACCCTGATTGTGTCTTGCACTTCTTCCACCGTTCGTCGCAAGATGGAGCGGACGGACTTCTCGAAAGATTTAGGGAACCTCTCATCATCGTACATTTCCTTCGTTTCGTCGAGGGACTTCTTCTCGTACTGAAGACAACGTTTGCAAGTGTTCACGTACTCCACCGCGTCGTGGAAGTGCTTCCGCAGTTCGACCCACACCTGTTTCGTGAGGCCCCGCGACACGAACTCCACTAGAAGTTGCTCCTCGGTCCGAAAAAACTGGCTCCCATACCGCCAAACCTCTGCGTCCTCCTCGGATTCAAGGAACAAGATGTAGTGAAACATGCGGAGCATCATGCGGTCCACTGTCCTCGTCGCGACCATGTCTTTAATTTCAGGCTTATGTTGACGTTTTAGATGCCCGCCCGCCGATTTCACGAACACTCCCCTCAGCGCGAGAATGTCGTCGAGGATCGACAGTTTTTCCGCATCGGGCATGTTAGCAAGAGACTACCAACAGAACATGTCTGGCTCCTTCACGATGATGAAAAACTTGTCGTCCGATTGCGTTTTCTTTTTGGTCGGAGGCGGCGGGACCCGGACGAGCCACCCCATCTTCGTTTCACCAGCCGCCCCTTTCGCGCCCATTTCCGGAATCGCTTGGAGAGCCAGAGATTTGTCTGGCATGAATTTGCCCGGCTTCGACAGGGCGTCTTCCCGTCTCCGCCCAACAACTTTCCCCCCGCCCATTTATCGTAGAACTCCATGCTTTTCCGGAAAACCTCATCAGATGCCGTCAAAAGTGACATCCATTGCCTCGATGCATTGCCAATGGCAGCGACGTGGTCCTTGTCGGCGAGCGTTGTCGCTTTACGTGTCATCGTCAAGTGAGCGTCGTTCGGACTCTTTCCCAAAAGCAGTTTTTGGAAGTCGAAAAACGCTTGTTTTTCGGCCTCCTTACGGGAAGGGTTCCCTTGAATGGTCACTGTCCTTCCTTTATTCTCCCATGCCTCCCGCATGTCCTCAAAAGCGGCCTTCTGCGCATGCTGCTTAGACATTTTGTGTCTTGTGTTCTCCGTCAGACTGACCTGCAAATACCCCCCAAAGTCTTCGTCGGAGAACCACACGACTCTCGCCGGCCACGAGTGCATCTTCCACAATTCGAATATTGGCTTACCGGCCAACTCCTTCACAGCAGCCACGGTGTGTTGTCCATTGACAGGGTAATTGAAGTACTTATCCTTGTCCTCTGGCTTGAAGACATCCTTGTGAACCCTCTGAGCTCTCTCCGGCTTATGCGTCACCGACTTGTAGATGGGTGCCAGAACCAAAGGGTTTTTCATCCAGATCTACTGCCTTAGCATCGCACCCTTGATGTCCTTCACACCATCCCGAGTGAGACTGCAGTGATTGTAATATCTTTCCCACGGTGGGATATCGCAGACCTTCCCGGGGTCGATGAGCAGTTGAATGGGGAGCTCCTTCTCCACGATCTCACCGTCATCGTTCCGCTTGTATTCGAGCCAAAACGTTGTCGCCTCGTCGTACTGCCTACCGACCGCCGTTTTGTCACCGCTCGTCCCCTCAGCAGTCTTCCTCCTCCGAGGTTTCTTCTGGCCATCGCCTTCTTCAGCTGCCAGTTTCCTTTTAGATTTCTCTGAAGGTTCTCTCGCGGCGGCAATGCCTAGACGAGCCGAATCTCCTTCACCTATAGCTTGCAATTCGCGGATGGTCAAACTGTCGGACCTCTTCGCTTTCTTACTTGTGGTTGTCTTGCTTTGATTGCCTCTTTTTGACTTCTTATTCTTGTCCGCCATGCATCTTTGGCGTCCTCTTTCCCAAGGCACGTTCTGCGACGTCACCTTTATGATCCCCGTCAATCATCGGCTTCGAGTGTCCTTTCATCCTCTTCGTGAATCGGGTTTGTTCCGCCACCTCTTCTCGCACCGTCTTCTATCGCTCGCGCTTCTTCTCCGAAGAAGTCGGCTTCCCGCTAGAGCTATCGCGCACAGCGCCCATCCCTTCAACCTCGTTCCCTCCAACCTCTTGCCCTGAACTGCCAGATTCTCTTCTCGCCTCACCTCGAAGCGAATATTGTCACCTTGGCAGACAAACTTGAGGATTTTTGGAGTACCAACCCGGTGAGTCCCTGCATCTGGAGAATGCAAACCACACGTGTTCCCAGGAGCATTCGGGCCGACATGCGTCTGAATACTGTGCACGTGCCCCACGCCCTGACCCTCAGTGTCGTGAATCACACTCCCGTGCCCCACTGTCGTCACAAGGGTTTCTTGAGCCAAGCTGGACGACCCCTCATGGACTGGCAGAAGCCAAAAAACATATTCTCGCGGAAGAATTGGATGCTCTTTCGGCACCTTCAGCGCAAGATCGAGATATTCCACTTGCGGTGGAAGAGGCCTCCTTTTGCCATCGTAAAGCCCTTTGAAGTGACCGCAACGTAGCATGTTCGAGCCGTAGCCCGCGAAACTCTTGATCGGTACTATCACACCCTTAACACCTTTGTACGGCAGTCTGCACTGGTCGTAGAAGATGTCAGTGTGCAGTTTGAGCAAGCCTCCAGACTGTTTCTGGAACGAAAGGATGGTACTGAGAGGATGAACGTCGGCTGCTCCCTCAACGTTTGGAAAGCAAGCGGGTCGCATGAAAACAATTGGCCCAACAAGGCTCCCCTCAACAACGAAGTTCAAAACCCATTATGCATCACTTGTATGAAAATACTGAGGAGTAGATTGCTGAAGAGGTCGTCCATCCCCTGGGGCAGACGAGCCAGCGCTTGTTGATGTGTTCTTCGCGGACGCCATTTTACTCCCAACCCGAGACCAATATGCCCGAGTCTAGACTAAACCAGATGACCAGGAGAAAGCCACAAGGTTTTCCTAAGAGTACAAGTGCAAAGTGCGAATTAACTCGGAGTTGTGGGAATAAAGACAATACTACTGTGGCGGAGTGAGTTGGGAGGAAAGATAACAACTCCTTGGAAAGAGTGCGAAACAACTCGCAATCCTAGAGGTGAAGGAAGAGGCGGTTTATCTTGGCGAAAGTGCGAACTAACTCGGAGTTGTGGAAATGAAGACCTCTACAACACGTACCGCATGGTTACCGACAAGTGCGAACTAACTCACAATTATGGAGAAAAACAACAATTCCAACTAGCAGTTCCGAAAACGAGGAACTCGCGTTCAAGAAAGACGCGGCTTACCTTGAAGAAAGTGCGAACTAACTCCGAGTTGTCGAAATGAAGACCAGAAACACGTGCAACACGCGTGTCGAAAAGTGTGAACGAACTCGGAGTTCTGGATACAAAGGGCAACAACTCGCAGTTCCGGAAATGAAGAGCCTACTTTCAGGAAAGAGGCGCCTAATCCTGAATTTTGGAAACAAAAACCTAAAACATATCCCACTAGGCGTCCACAAAGTACGAACTAACTCGGAGTTCTAGATATGAAGGGCGACAACTCCTACAACACTTTGGGTCGCAAAGTGCGGACTAACTCGGCCTTATAGAAGCGACACGGAAGAACAGAAACTGCAGATTAATTCGGTCTTATCGAAGCTACACGGACGAGTGCCTGTATATATATATATATATATATATATATATATATATATAAACAATATCCTAGCAGCTTTATAGTGTGTAGGTTCAGCTTCGGCAAAAGGAAATCGAGCTACGAAGTGCGGATCGGCTATGGCGGAAGGAGGTGGAGGGTGAAGAAAAGATCATATCAGAACGCTGGAGGTGGCGATAGCGCGACTTGACCTGTGGAGCTGCAAAACAACAAAACCGGGAATTGATTCGGGCTTCAACATGCGGCGCAGACAAGGCATCTGGGAATCTGTTCGGACATCGGACACAGTTAGGACAACTGAAATAGCATTTCACCTTCGTACAACGTTGTGTGAACGACGAACATCGGACGGATATGGACGTACGACGAGCGAACCAGCTATGGTGGAGGGAAATCGAGTTACGAAAAGCGAACCGGCTATGGTGAATGGAAGTCGCGCTACGAAGAGTGAACCGGCTATGGCGGAAGGGCGTGGTGGGTGAAGACAAGATATCAACACGTGTGGGGTAGTGATAGCGCGACTTGACCCGTGGAGCTGGCAGGCAACAAAAGGGATACAATGAGGGCGGCAATGCCTTTTATACTTTTCCGCTTAGAGGAACTCTCCAACAGCAGGCCTCGCGTCGAGACCAAGGAGGGTGCGGAGAGGGCGTTTCGATTTGGCGGTTGTTCGCATATTGCACGCCTGGGCCAATAGGACGCTAGGGCCTATAAAACGGTAAGGACAGACTGGGACTTGAAAGGTCAGAGGTACCATAAATTGCTTCTCGTCGATCTATGAAATTCAACGGCGCAGATCAACGAAGCCACTGGCATGTAAGAGACCCTAAATTCTCTGCCAACTCCGGCGTGCATTGATATAACCTTTCCAGAAAGTAAGGGACAGTTTAGGTCATTTTCGCTGTCGTAGTCTCGACCGTCGATCGTCATGATCCGACGTACAAAGTGGAGCTTCTTTACCTCCCCGACATCAGGCGCAGTTATCGCAGCGCAGCCGTTCGTTGCGCGCCGACGCCAGGCGCGACGAGGCACAATCATGAACGCTCCCGAAAACCCAGCGTGGCGGTTCGTTGCGAGCCAACTCCGCCAAGGTCAGCACTGGAAACCGACAAAATATGGTTTGGCAAACATTGTGACATTTTGCGAATGTCAACGGCGTTGGATAGCGAACGTCCTCAATCGCTCTATTTTGAACCAATGCCGCGCTTGTGAACGGAATCGCATCCATTCCCACGCTCGCCATCGCCAGAGCCGCTGATGTGCTTAGCTCATCACCATTGCTGCGCACAGTTATATCCTCCATCGCAGCGCTGGCAATCGCTATCGCTATCGCCATCATCGCAGCGCTCGCCATCGCTATCGGTACCATCGTAGCGCTAACCATCGTTATCCATTCCATTGTCGCGGCATCTCTCTCCATCGCTATCCCTGCCATCACAGCGCTGGCCATCGCTATTGTTACCATTGCAGAGTTGGGCCATATTCTGTGCCATCTCTCTCCGTCGCTGCACCATCTTTCTCCATCGTGGACTCTCTCCATCTCTGCGCAATCTCTCTCCGTCACTCCTGTGCGATCTCTCTCCATCGTTGCGCCATCTCTCTTATCACTCTTGCGTGATCTCTCTCCATCGTTGTGCGTTCCCTATCCATCTCTGCCCCATCTTTCTCCATCGTGGACTCTCTCCATCGTGGACTCTCTCCATCGCTGCGCCATCTCTCTCCATAGTTCCTGGTCGATCTCGTCTCCATTGCTGCGGGATTTCTCTGCATCGCTGCGCATTCCCTCTCCATCGCTACATGATCACTCTCATTCGCCATTGTATTATCGTTATAGTTCGCCGTCGGTGTGGCCGCCCATCATTGTGGAATCGCACGAAACAAGCGTCAGGTATGCGTAATGAAGGATTAACACGACTGATATAACTTTGATTAAGCTAATTTTGAAGTGATGTTGGATGCATTATATCTAAAACATTGGTTAGCCTTTAAATGATGTTGTCTAGGTCAATAGTGAGATATGCGGCGCTCCTGCGCCATCTATCTTCATCGTTGTGCCATCGCTAACCATCGTTGCACCAGATCTTTCCATCGGCTCGCCGTCGCTGAGTATCATTCACCATCGCTGCATCGGATCTTTGCATCTATGCGCCATCTCTAACCATCGTTGCGCCTGCACTCTCAATTGACGCTCCATCTTTCTCCATCGGTGCGCCATCTCTCTCCATCGCTGTGCCATCTTTGTGCATCTATCCCCATCATTGCGCCACCTTTCTCCATTTGTCTCCATCTGTCTCCATCTCTGCGCCATCGCTGACCAATCGACCCATTGTATTGTCGTTGTAGTCCGCCATCGGTGTAGCCGCCCATCATAGTTGAATTGTACGAAACAAGCTCAATGCATTTAACAAGATGTATTAAGCTAATTTTGAACTAATCCCTGATGCATTATATCTAAATAAACATAACTTAGACGATTCCGGAACGGCACACTGACATGGCAGCCGGATATGCATGGATTTGCCTATAAACTACATAATTGTCAGATATGCTTGCTTTTGTGAGATTCGTGGATTGGAGTTAGGGTTGTCGAGCCCCGGCCCCGAGGCCCCGACGGGGGTCCCGGGGGACGGGGGTCGGCACCCCTGGCCCCTGCAAAAAAAGGTTAAAAAAAATAAAATAAAAAAATAAAAATAAAAATACAGGGGGGTGCGCAGCTGCAGCCTGCACCCCCTGGGCCAAACTGCAATATTGCAGTTTTGGCCCGACCTCAGGCCCCCCCCGGGGCTACACCCCACCCTCGTGAGCCCGGGGTAATGCGGGCGCTGGGCCGGGGGCGGGGCCTAGCGGGGTGCGGCGCCGGGGTTGGCTGGCAGCGGGGCCGAGG